TCTAAAGCACCTACTTGAAACAAGCTTGGCAAAGCACAGGGACCGCGGTTCGATCCCCAGCACCACATGCCAGCCAGACCCGCCCCCTGGTGGGCTGAGCTGGCCACACACAATAAATAAATGTAATAAATAAAATAAATATAGAATCATAATCAGTCTTACTTCTAGACATAGGTTTACTTAAACAGTCCAGGGTTGAGCTTTAGGCTTACTTTGTTTAAAAGATTTCAAGCACTACAGAGGTATTAAGTACATGCCTAGATAAACAACAACAACAACAAAAACAAAATGTGGGGGCCAGGGAGATGGCTCAGTGGAATAAGCGCTTCCCTGGCAAGCGCAAGGGCCTGAGTTCAATCCCTGGTGGGGGGGGGGGATGTGTGTGTGTCACTAAGAATTGAACCCAGGGCGTCATTCATGCTAGGCAAGCTTTCTACCACTGAATTACATCCCCAGATTTTCTAAAATTTTATTTTGAGGCTGGCTCTCATTAAGTTGGTAGGGTTCAAAATTGGACTCTTCTTGCCTGTGGCCAGCACAGGCGTGTTATTCCAACAGTGAGACTGAGGCAATATTGTTAGATGAAGAAATGAGAGCAAGGGAGAGAGGGAAGGAGGAGAGAGGGGTAGGGAGGGAGAGATAGGCAGAGAGAGAAAAAAACAAACAGAAAAAAATCCCTATCCTAGACTTTCTTCTTCCCTTGGGAAGCTGAGTGGATTCACTCCCAGAGGCATCAAGGCCTAGGTCTGTAACCCATAATTTCTATAAACTTCTTGTGCCTTAATTTTTCCATTAGAAGAAAAGGCTCATAACCTGTACTTCCTCTTGGTGTTGTTTAGAACAGAAGTGACCCAACAGGCCTGACCACGACTACATAATGTAGTATGAATATCAAAAGGAAAATAATCACTTTCCCTGGCAGAATCAGGGACTGAACTCAGGCCGTCCTTGCGCTTGCCAGGGAAGCGCTTATTCTGCGGAGTCATCTCCCCGCCACGCCCCCTCCGTCTTATTTTGATGAGTTCTGCGTGTAACCTGCATCCATCCCTTCCCCTTTTCAAAACTGTGGTCCGAGTGGGATGGGTCACTGAGTGGCGGGCAGCTCCGTGAGAACCTCAGGCAAAGAGAGACTGATAGCGTGCCTGGACGTGTCTACGGAG